CCAAATCATAAGTAGGTTTCAAACATATGTGATCACACATTTGTTTAGCACCCTGAGCATCTTCTTTTTTATAGGAATCTGCATACCTGCTGACATGATGTCCCGACATCTGGTAGGACATCAGTTCCTTTTTCGGGAACACACAACTGAGCTTGGTTCTGAAACAACTATTGCTTCCAGAGAATCAAAACATCCTTTGATCACCTTCAAGGTCTTCAAAATAAGTCCAAGCTCCAGCTACACCAACAACAGCTAGACTTAGAGTCACTTCCTAATTAGGTCGAGACTTAGGAAGACTCTTTTAGAAACCAAAATAAATCTCTCTATCCTTTCATCAATAGTCTGTCAAATAAATGACAGGTTTCTTGAAAAATACATCAACCACACACTAAAGTTCTTTTATGAGTGGACTTGAGGAAAAAGACTCAAGTATCGTTGGCAACTTTACAAAGTTGGTTGAAACAGTCTTGCACATATAACCTGTGGAGGAGACCAAACCATAATGCCCTAAGAAAATACCACCAGAGACACAAGGAATAACCAGGGTTACAACAGATACCATGCAGTAGAAAATAAACCAGAAAACTCCTCAACAACCTTTAGGCACAACATACAAACCCTTGCACAAACACAACATACTCTAGGTGTAACAGGTTAACCCAAGTTTGGTAATAAATCAAACCCAACACAACAGCTCACCACCAAGGCTACAGGTCTGATAACAACACAGACAGGTCCAATACACACCCTGTCACGAATAGTCCATCCTCCACTTCAAGGGACCATTCAAACAAAAAATATGAACTATCCAAGTTCAAACAACTTTTCAGTAAATACTTTCTTCCTTGCCCATAACCAGAAAGTATCTTCCCTAGGATCTCACCCAGAATAGAACTAGATTCCTGCTCTAATACCAATTGAAATTCTGGTATACCAGACTTCAGATGTCCTATGATATGTTGGGACATCTGATCTGACTTGAACAACATAGACAAGGTATAAACATATAAAAATAGTACTGAAAAGTAAACAACACACCAGAATTATTAACCCAGTTCAGAGCAACTCTTCTACTCTAGGGGTATACCGAGCCAGCGATAAGTCTGCTAAAATAGTATCAATTCATAGACCCTCGGTAAACATCCAGTTTACGATCTAATCACTTAATCACTACCCTTGTTAGACTTCTATCTAAGACTCACCTAGATATGAGGCCTTCCTCAATCCCTCATCAATCACAGATAGCGATTGGACAAAACAGGAAGACACACTTCCATGACAAAAACATAAGACACACTTTCATGACAATACTCATCAAGACACTTGACAAGAACACAACTTGGAGTTACTTAAAATCTTCCTCCAAGAATAATACCCACTCTTTCTTCACAGCTTCGAGGAGAACAAAATCAACTCATTACCTAAAGGCTTCTGAGTGATAACAGAACCTTGCAACTCAAGAAACACAATCCAACTCACATTTCGAGTGGATCACACGATCAACTCTCCTAGAGAGTGGTATAGACTCAGCCCTAATGATTACATATTTTTAATTCACAGCTGGTACCTTTACCTAGGTTACAATGCTTCTGTTTATAATCTATCTCCCAACTGGATTTGGGCTTCTAATCACAGCATATTAGCTATTACAATTGTGCAGAAGATTCTGCAACAAAATAGGTCTTTAATCACATCTTTCCTAAAAAGTCTCCTTATTTTGAAAGTCAATATTCTTCAATATTGTTCTTGATTATTCTAGACCTTTAAATCAGCGCCACATAGGATAGCATAATATTCTCAGAATATTCTGCATCTGTTAAAACATACCAGAATCCAATTGTCCAGCTTAGCTCAGGTGCGATGTCGTGTCACCCTTCATAGGATATCGTATCTGACATGTTGCTCCAGATGTTGAAACATTTCAACTCAATGTATTCTTCATAAAATAGGATTTCTTACTCCACCTATTCATCATTGCAAGTAATCACATCATATTTAACATATTATTGTTATATTTGTTTTACTAAAATTAATGTTAATCCTAAAAATAGAGAACTAACATTAACTGCTTGCACAAAAGATTTATTGTTTAACTGTTTGCGACCATTTTTTGTAAATTCCATTTGGAGTTTATCAAAATCCGAACGAACAGGTCCTAAAGACTTTACCATTGTATACCTAAAATGAGATCACAACACACTACAGGTAAAACAATCACATCAGTAGCAAATTGTGCTTGCTGCAATCTCCACTTGAATCCTCGACAGGTAAACGCAACTTCCAATTTGTGGCCACCTCCACCTATTACAGATAATGGGGAAATAGCTTCAAATTTATACCCCAATGACTTTGCAATTTCTAGGTCTAAGAAATTTTGTGTTCTGCCGCTATCCAATAATATGTGGATCAGTTTCTTATCATGTAACCCTATCACACGCATGGTTTAAAATTATCAATTACTCTCAGGGCTTGTAGGAACAATTATGGATTTTCAAAAATCGGTGCGGATTCAGCCACATGTACTTCCAATGACGAATCCTCTTTAGTAGATTCATCCTCATCAATTTCTAACACCATCAATTATGAGTGTTTATGCTTGAATTGATGACCCGGTGTAAATTGTTCATCACAAAATATGCAAAGACCCTTAGCTCTACGCTCATCCATTTCAAGAGCAGAATAGGTGTGAGTTGGGCGACTCGAAGGTGGTCTGGAATTGGAATTTAGGGGTGCAATAGGAATTGAAGGAGATGGTGATGGTGAGGGAGTGTTGGGTTTGTTAAAAAGGCCCTGACTTTTTGTGAAATTAGTGAAACGGGGAGTGGGTTTTGCTAGTGAGGGTGAGGATGATTCATGAAGGTTGGCGAGGTTTGTAGCATGAGCAATGGTTGTGGGGTTAAACATTCAAACATGCATTTGTGTATTATAATCCAAACCAACTAAGAAAATGCTAAGAGAATATTTAGGGATCAAGTTAATTTGTATTAGGGCAAGCTCAAATTGGTCAATGTATTCCTGAACCTTACCGGTGTGTTTCACCTGCAACAACGATGATAATAGATCTTTATAGACATCACCGAAGCGAGTTGTGATATTTGTGACGTATTGTTGCCAAAGTTGGTAGATATCAAACATTTGACGCATATAGTTGAGATGCCATTGTAAAGCTAACCCATCTTGATGAATAAAAGTCAAACGCACCATTGACTGCATCAGAGTAGTGTGTTTCACCTGCAACAACGATGATAATGGATCTTTATAGACATCATCGAAGCGAGTTGTGATATTTGTGACGTATTGTTGCCAAAGTTGGTAGATATCAAACATATGACGCATATAGTTGAGATGCCATTGTAAAGCTAACCCATCTAGGTGAATAAAAGTCAAACGCACCATTGACTGCATCAGAGTTTCATCAAATAGAAAAAATTGATCACATTTGTAGAACCAATCACGCACGTTTTTTCCATCAAAACGGGGGAATTCGACTTTGGAAATGCGAGTTGCATAGATGTTGGTGTTATTGTTACGAGTGTTGTTAGATCCTTGTCGAACGTTTGACGTTGGGGAACCTTGATCTATGTGAGCACGTTATAGTGAACGAATTTCTTCCATGTTTGCGTTTCATTGAAATTGTAGATGTTGAGATGTTCTTCAAGGCGTTGTTCTAGTTCGTTCAGAGAGCTCGACGAATAGGCCATAGAGCACCAGACTGATACCAATTGATGCCAACTCTTTGAATATTAGGGATATAACCGGTAATATCCTAACCCTAGCTCAGAGATAACAGTGGATTATGAATGTTATTTGATAATGTAAATATTGAAATTCTATGACAAGAATCATCAAAGACTACTTATATGATATATTTTGTGGTTATGTATTAATCTATTGAACTGTCTCTCACATGTTTATATGTTATATGTTATGTGGTAGTAAATTTGTAGTGTAGAATTTTTAAATAGTTAGGAAGGGAAAAATTTATAGTATTTGATTTTTTTAGTAGTTAGGAAGAGTGTGTTCTTTTGAGTTATATTACTTCACTTTTTAAGTTTTTTTGGTTATAGGAGGTTTGATGTGTATCATCATATAAGGTTATTTATTAATTTTACATTCGGTTGTTAGGACTATTTGAAATTGCATGATATTTGGTTGTTTGGATTGTTTGATATTCCAAGAACAAACTCTCACTTGTTTATATGTTATGTGGCGGCAAATTTATAGTGGCGACAAATTTGTAGTATATGTGGCGGCAAATTTAGTGGCGACAAATTTGTACTATAGGACTTTAAGTAATTAGAAAGAGTAAAATTTATCGTATATGATTTGTAAATAGTTAGGGAGGTGAGTTCTTGGCAGTTATACTACCTCATTTTTTGAGTTTTTTTCATCATTATAAGGTTCCGTGTGAATAAGAGGTCATTTATTGATTTGACATGCAGTTGTTTGGACTATTTCTGTGGCTTGAAAATCCTATAGCAATTCGAATGTTTGTGATTAGATCCTTGGTTTCGCTCTTCTATTGTGTTTTTGGAGGATGGTGATATGTTGTTATTGGTGATTCTCGTTTTCAAAGCTCTAGTTTACTACTTGGTGGAGTGGTTGTTTGTTTGGAATTCTTTTTGTCCCTTGCTACTCTTCTAAACAAATCTGATTAATTTATCTAAAATCTAACTCAACATATTCCTAGCTAGTAACTAAGCGGAGAATGGAACATTCTCATCTATAACCTGGCTTCATATATTATTAAAGATAAAGGAACACATTCATTCAAAACCATGAAAATAACGGATTCCCAAAACTGGATGCATCAACCATCATCGTACACAATGTTATGTAGGTATGAAATATTTACAAGAAATCAGTCAAGTTAATAGAATATGAAAAGAAGAAGAAAAAAATTAACAACAGTCATTTTTTCCTTGTTTTTCCTAATACAACATTACTTCAAATTATTCTCCACAACTCTTGATTGCGAAGGAAAACAAAACAACATAGTTTCAGGGCAAAGGTTCTTGTGAATCACCCAAACGAGACAAATGAAGATATGCATCAGTCCCTGCAAAGAAACAACAGATGATCCTATCAGAATACTTGATTGTTGTACATAAAAAGTAATATTATTCTTGTAGAAGTTCTAAGGGTGAAGTGAAAAGTAGACTCACCGTATCCTTCCATAGAGATTATTTGAAGATCGCCTCCGAAATACCGAGCATATAGACGACTAATAGGTATTCCATAACCATATCCAGCCATTGTTGTCACACTATCAGCTACTCCAAGATCTGCATGCTCATCCAATGGGTTTCTGGCAGTACTGTACAGATATGTAAAGATTTTGGGCAGTCCACTTCTAGGTATTCCACCTCCCTCGTCCGACAACTATATAAACCAAATGCTTTAGCAGAGCGCTCAATGATAGTATTTAAAAATGAGTTTAATTCATGTGCACAGTCAATGTAAAGTTTATCTTATGTTAATCAATTATAACATTCAGATTATTAAAAACATTTTGACTTTAACCGAAACTATGATTGGTTTTGATTTGCTGACAATGTAAAATTAACTGAATCATAGAAGTTAATCAGTTACCTTTATGGTAACGTCCTCTAGTCCATCAGCAACTATTATTCTTATGGGAGGTGAAGCTTTGTCAGAATCCATATAACGCTCTTGGACAGCACGCAGCGAGTTCTTAACCAACTCAAATACCATCAGATGCAAGTGAGCTGGAACATACCTGTTGTAAAAACGCACATTAATTAAATATGTTTTGGAAAGTTAACAGAAATAACCTGACAGTGATTTTAAATCTTATGATAACCATTCTTAGCATAACAATATAGATGCTCTTGTAAAGAATAAAGGAAAATGAATTCATGGAAGTATGACCTAAGAGGTATGTAACTTACGGAAAAGTAAATTCAGGATCGCCGTATATATTGATATCAGGAGCGCTTCCATATTCACGCAAGCATATAGAGCGCGCATCCTCGCTAGCATGCCTCGCCACCGCCACAGGAGACATTTTTGTATGTATATAACCAACGACATGAGGAGGAGGGTTGGGATTGTGAAGTTCAACATGCTGCCCTAAATCCAACAAAAATGAAAAACACATAAAATATGGAAAACGTGTACTGTATATTGTTCCGATCTCTAGTCTATTTACAATGCTTTTCTGAGATATTATCAGCTTTGGGTAGTGCGTTAGCCCTCGTGGTTTTGTCCTTAGTTAACAGGTGCCTCGGTGGGTTGAGAAGAGTGTGTTTATAAATTACAATTAGTCTCGATTTCCAAAAATTTGAAGAGAAGAAATAGCAGCAAACAAACGGTTTAGCCTTGTAGAAGGTAGAGAAAATACTCTCGAAACTAACCTATAAGCATGCGAATTCCAATTCTTGACAAGTAAAATCGATCAAGGAACTGATGAATCTCCATCAGATCTTCACTATCCATCTTTGACTCTTTTTTCAATTGCTGAACACCCAATGCCATTGTAGGTACGACATTGTTGTGTCTCACTTTGATGGCCTTAATAACATCAGTGAACTCTTTTTCATCCTTCATATTCTTGATCTCCGGGCAGGATCTAATGTCGCGGAATGAATCCACATACCAATCCCTAACCTAAATGCATAAAAGTTCAATAAACAGTTACAGACTCTCTTATAAAATTAACATTCACTAAAATATCAACAAAGGTATGTACCTTCAAGACAGCAGGTCTTTGTGACAAGCCATAAGGAAGACTCTCAAGTTCGATAGCTCTCCTAGCAATCCTAATAGCAAGTTCCTTCTGAAGAAACTGTGCAGAAATCAGCAAATTCTTATCAGTAGGTTGCGAACCAAACTCCATCATATACCTCAAACTCACACCAGTCTGTTTCAAACACCCCCATTTATGCACTTCCTCAATCAAACTCTTCGAAAACGCCTCAATTGCAGCCATGGCCAAACAATTTCAGAACGAAATCATCTAAGTCCTGCAAATTCACACCAAGAGATCAAGATTTGTATGAAATTACACCAAGAACAAAATGGATCTGAGAATTGGGAAAGTGGATACCTGAATCGTGAATTGGAATCATTGCATCAATTCTTCATTGAAATTGAAGCTGGAAAATGAACATGCAAAACGGAGAGGGATTGTGGTTTTGGTTGTGATGGTTATGAAGAACAACTGTTGCGAAAATACGAAAGTTACGGATAACACGTGACAGGTGTCAAGATAAGCTTTTATTCCGAGAATAATTACCATATGCATGTATACTTCTTTTTTTGTCTTTTTAGAAAATTATCTTCAAAATTATATTTTTAATAATTTAAAATGAGAGAATGCTTTTTCTTTTACTTTGAATGGTTTAATAATTACACAAACATCTAAAACCATCACAAAATATAATTGTTTGTATTTTGTAATTAGTACACGAAAAACTCGCATGCGGCAAGTGTGAGGTCTTAGAGTTGAACCCAGCATAAAGTGTTCAACATAATTATATTTATACTTGATATAATTAGAAACTGGTTGATTAGAGAATGCCACGTGGTTTGCTAATAGAGCTTTTCATTTGTTTTTTTTCAATTATTCAATTTATTTATCAATTTATTTATTTTAATTGGTTATAGTTTTAATCTTTCACTTTTTTTTTTTGTGATTCATCGGCATGCTCATGACGGTTATATATGTATTCCACTGTCAATCTGTCATGAAACATGGTGGTTATAGAAATTTACATTGTTCTTCAATTTATTTGCCATTTCAATCTTTCACTATTAAGAGTTATAATTCGTTGTCTCTCTCTTCCTCTTCTTTCTTCTATATTTCACCTCTCTTCATCTTCTTATTTCTTCTCTCTTCTTTCCTTCAACAAATATGTTATTCTTATCTGCTTAGATCTACGGAACTCCGACAATTTCACGACGGTGGATGGTTTGGCTATACTCCAGTTAGGGTTTCAATTAACGAAGTGGTGGATTTTTTCTTTGATTTTCCTCTAATTATCATCACTAGAGTAAAAACGAATCCTTTTTTTTATGTTTTTTTTCTTTTCACTATTAACAATTGTTATTTTGGATCTGTCGCTTTCAATTTGTTCACTATTAATAATTGTTATTTGAAATTGTTTTTCCGTCACGCCCTCTGGTCTCCTCCCTCTGTCGCGTCTCCATCTCCGCCTAATGGGGTTGTAATTTATGATGATTTTGATTATGTCTAGGTTTTACTGATTCATAAATCTGATTTTTGGATCAGTTATATCTGACTCTATATGTTGCATTTGTGGATGTGGATGTGTTTTATTGCTTTTATCGAATTGAGATTGTTTTATTGTTATTTTTAAAACATGATTTTGTTTAAATGAGTAGTTTTTTTTCCAGGGATTTACGGCGTGATAGTTATTGCAGGGAGTTTTATATGTTCGATTACCAAAATACTCACTTGGAGATTTTCATCTTTCAATAGATGTTGTTCTTGAAGGGCTTGGATATGCATTTCCTCCAATTATGGCTCTTCTTTTTTATACTTGATGTAAGCTCTTTTGTTTATACAGTGATCATAAGGTTGGGTTTCTATTTGTTTACTTGAATTGAGCTTTCGTCGACATGGTTATTATTGTATTGAGTCTCATAATGCAGTTGTTGTAATTTCCTCAATTGAAGAATCTATCAAGTATGATCTCAAGAATGGTGAGTTATGTTTCAATCCCCTTTTCTTCATATATAACTTTTAGTATTGTTATAAGGTATAGGATAGGATATTTTTTGTTTGTTTTAAATTTTCTCTTCCGAGCAATCTCACAAATATTTATATCGGTAGATAAGCTCAAATAAGACAATCGAAATAGACCCTGATTCATTTCCTTTCTATCATGTCATTTAGTGACAACATAATCCGTTCACCTTGCTAATGATGTAGATAATCAATTGAATAATATGGCTTCCCCGTCTACTATCTCCTCAACCATAGTTAGGATGGATGAACTGTCTAAAAACAGCGAAGGCCCTTCGTTTCATATATCGTGGATAGGCAAGGTTCGTCTCAAACAACTAACTCAAGTCAGCAAGCATTTGGCCAGCAGAAAGATGGTTTGAATAATGGTACTCGAAAGGAAAATGTTGGATCTCAAAGCAACTCGCATACTGAGAAGTCCAATACAAGGCCTTTCAACAATAAAGAACTTGTTGATGTCTCGAGAAAGCCAAGTGTGAAGAGAAAGTGGACTACATTGGAAGAACTCAATCTAACCTCTGATTCTTCAAGCAGTAGTGATTCTGATTTTAACAGTGAAATATTTACTAGTGCGAATGGCTTTCTAGGTGTAAAAAACCATTCAACTGGGCAGCCTAGCAGATCTGTGCGATAAAAGCCTAATGTTTCCTACAATGATAATATGAGCGAAAATGACATATTAAGACCTTCAAAATAGGGTGAGGAGAATGGAGCACCTTATGTTAATGGTCAAAGTCATAATGGGGCCATTAAAACAAATTATCAGAATGGTTCAGCAGTTGATCCAAAAGATGAACATGAAAAGGTAAAGCAGAAACAAGATTATCATTCAAAAGAGAGCTCACTGAATATAAATGAGGGAAGAAATTGGGCAAATGGAAAAGAATTTGTGGGTGGATCAAAGAAGATGGGTGAAACTTCGGAGCATTTTCTCCAAATTCAATCTATAAAGCAAAAAAGCATCATAATGCTAATGTTTATCCCAATGTAGAGCATTCTTCTCCAAATTCAATCTCTAAGGAAACAAATTATCCTAATGCTTATGTCTATCTCAATGCTGAGTTCATCGATTTTGACAAGGACAGAAAAAATAATGTTTTGCGCCTGGGCAGATTTGGGCTATCTATGATACAACAGATGGCATGCCTAGATTCTATGCTTTAATCAGATAAGTTCTCTCTCCTCGATTTCATTTGAAGTCAACATGGCTTGAACCACATCCAGATGACCATGATCAAATCAAGTGGGTAGGTAAGGAATTGTCTGTGGCTTGTGGGAAATTTAAGCTTGGTACAACTTATATTATTAAAGATCGTCTGATGTTTTCTCATTAGCTCAGTGTGATAAGATTGTCCGCAATAATCCTAAAGCTTATCCTAGAAAGGGAGAAACATGGGCTCTTCTATACTGATGGTTGTTGTAAGTTCAGTGGAAGGGGAACTCTTCTATAGAGTTGCAGTCCAGGTTTGTTTTAGAACTTCTGTGCCTGAATTTTATCATATTTTCCTAGAGATGTTTGAGAAATATATTTATATTTCCTTCAAATTTGTATTGTATGTTTGAAACCATCTATATTGAGATTCTGATTGGATTTCTACAGGGGGCACTAACAGATATATTTTTACGAGGCAGTAATCTTATTCAAGATGTACAAGGAATGGCGTCTTTGGTACGTCTACCATTTTATTTATGTTTCAAATATTTGAAACTAAGTTTCATTTTGGTAACTAACTCGCAATTTATACGGTAATATGTAGATATGAGTTCTACCACCATTTGTTCCACTTGCTCAAGCACTCGCAACTATGAACTGGTTCGGCTGGTGCAACTGTTAGAGTATATTATTGTACCCCAAAATTTTCCCTCTAATTTATCAAGAAATCTATCATAAGATCTTCATTGATTCAAGACTACACAAGGTTTGATTAGCTCAAGACACCTCCTCAAGCACTGATGACTCAAATTAGGGTTTGAGTTTGCACAAGGACAAATAGACTTTTAAGGCTCCATATGACTTTCATGGATCATTAGGAACCCTCAAGATTTCTCATGTCAATTTTCAAGCTTTGGATCACATTTTGCTCAGTCAGTTGATCAAATGACCTAAAATCAACTATATTGGGGGGAAAAGTCAACAGTGGTCAATTTGCAGTCAAACTTTATAATTTTTTATCCATATCAACATCATGAACTCATATATGTCAATTGATCAAGTTTTGTACACAATTCCTCAAGAAATTTGATCAGATCATCAAAAGGGCAAAATGGTCAAAATTAGAGTTTTGACTGAGGAGGTTCAATTTTTGGCTTTTGACCTAACAAATCACTTATTGGTTCAAGATATGACCTCAAGGATACAAATACATCATTTTGACCTAATGACGTGGTTCAAAATATTTCTCAAGATCAATTGATTGATGATTGAATTTCAGTCAACTGATGAAAAGTCAATTGTACACTGAAAAGACAAACTTTGACTTTTTGATCAAAATCAAGTGTCAAATATTACAATTTATCAAGACATGTTAAAATATGAAACTTGTTAATCAAAAAATTCAAAATTCAAAATTATCTTTGAAAAGTCAAAATTCTGACTTAGATTTTTTTCTAAGTGTTAGAAAGTTCATGTTTTTTCATAACATTGTGCCAAATTTCCACCATGATGCAAGATGATTCAAGGGAAACTTCCAACATGAAAGTTGTAGATCTCAATGAGATATAAAACATTGTAGGTGTGATACGGTGGGAGAACTGACCGTGGTTTTGTGTCCGTATTCGCACTTGTGCGGTTGAGCAAGAGTCGCCACCGACTTTTTATTTTATCCTAAAGGAAAGGTTAAAAAAGCACAGCAAAAACCTTTTGAGATGTTTCGTGGGTTCGGGGGGTAGATTATGAAAAGGGAAGGTATTAGCACCATTTTCATCCATGGTTATCCATGGGCTCTTAGTTACTTGGTTTTTTAGATCACTTGCCTTGATTTTCGATTGCTTGAAAATGGTGTGTGTGTGTGTGTTTTTGAAAATGTTTTTGAAGAGATGCCTTGTCTTAGGCAACCAATGTATTTGACTCGTGTTTGAGTGTTTTACAAAAGTGTGGATCTTTTCGAAAAGATGTTTCAAATGTTTTTGAGAGTTTGTTTGAAAGTGTTGTGGATTGTGGTTTTTGAAAAGAAGGCAAGCGTTTTTGCAAGTTGTTCTCAAGTAACTAATAGTTTAATCTA